AACATCCCCTGTGGATCCTGCACCCGTCACAACGTCTCCTATGGATCCTGCACCCGTCACAACGTCCCCTGTGGATCCTGCACCCACTGCAACATCCCCTGTGGATCCTGCACCCGTCACAACGTCTCCTATGGATCCTGCACCCGTCACAACGTCCCCTGTGGATCCTGCACCCACTGCAACATCCCCTGTGGATCCTGCACCCGTCACAACGTCTCCTATGGATCCTGCACCCGTCACAACGTCCCCTGTGGATCCTGCACCCACTGCAACATCCCCTGTGGATCCTGCACCCGTCACAACGTCTCCTATGGATCCTGCACCCGTCACAACGTCCCCTGTGGATCCTGCACCCACTGCAACATCTCCTATGGATCCAGCACCCATCGCAACGTCCCCTGTGGACCCTGCACCCATCGCAACGTCTCTCGTGGATCCTGCGCCCATCGCCCCCTCCTCAGCAGACTTCGTGCGAGGGAACTGCTGCAGGTGAAGGAAAGCAGCTGCACGTTTTCATCTCCTGGCTCCGCCACGCGCACCAGAAACTCCACTTCTCAGGAACTCCGGGGGCAGTTTCGCAACCTGACCTCCTCCGACCGGGCCAGGACTCAGCAGCCCCTACCCCATCCCCTTTCCACACCATTCTGCTGAATCAGCCCAAATCGGCCCTTTTTGGAGCCAATTCCTCTCCTGCTGCTCCCAGGGGGGAGCTCTGCGAGGAGCTTCTCAGGAAAACAGAGATAAGCCCCATCTGGTTATAAAAAGCGAGATTTTGGGACCGACCGTGCAGTTTTTTTTTTTCCATCCATCCATCCTCACGTGTCCATGGGCTTCGGGGAGAGCAAAGAGAGACGCTGAGGCAGAAAGGAGCCTGCCGGTAAGTGGTGTGGGGCTGGGCTCTTCCGTTGCTTTTTTTTTTTTTTTTTTTTTCCTTTCATTTTTGAGCTTGGCCCAAGTTTATCCCATCTGAGCAAACGAAGGTGTCGATGATGCCTTCACCAAGCAGGAGCCCCAGGTGGGTTAAATCGACTATAAAACTATATAAGAAAGGGATTTTTCTTCTCTCCCAAGCCCAGGTTGCGTTGGTTTTGGGGAAATCTGTGCTGTAAATCCTCTTTGGGTGCAACGATCTGGTTCTTAACCCCAATAGATGTTGAGTGATGGTGGGGGACCAGCATCTCTGAGAACCTCCAGAAGGTGGTGCGGTTATACATACAAGGCAAGTCCAAGAAGTGCTTTGTAGAGCTGGGAGCAGTTAAGGGAAGGAAATGGCTCCATCACAGCCAAATCCAAGTCTGAGTGCACGGGGACAGCTGGGGTGGCATTGGGCTGCTGGGGTCGAGCAGAATTCAGCCCCAACCCAAAATGAGCTGCGAGAGGTTTCCATGGGGTTGAAAAAAAGCTCTGGGGACAATTTTGGGCCAAGAAGGGAAGGACGGGGTCTTCAAGGTGGCATCAGGAAGGGTTTGGGGGTTGTTGGGGTGCACGGGGACAGCTGGGGTGGCATTGGGCTGCTGGGGTCGAGCAGAATTCAGCCCCAACCCAAAATGAGCTGCGAGAGGTTTCCATGGGGTTGAAAAAAAGCTCTGGGGACAATTTTGGGCCAAGAAGGGAAGGACGGGGTCTTCAAGGTGGCATCAGGAAGGGTTTGGGGGTTGTTGGGGTGCACGGGGACAGCTGGGGTGGCATTGGGCTGCTGGGGTCGAGCAGAATTCAGCCCCAACCCAAAATGAGCTGCGAGAGGTTTCCATGGGGTTGAAAAAAAGCTCTGGGGACAATTTTGGGCCAAGAAGGGAAGGACGGGGTCTTCAAGGTGGCATCAGGAAGGGTTTGGGGGTTGTTGGGGTGCACGGGGACAGCTGGGGTGGCATTGGGCTGCTGGGGTCGAGCAGAATTCAGCCCCAACCCAAAATGAGCTGCGAGAGGTTTCCATGGGGTTGAAAAAAAGCTCTGGGGACAATTTTGGGCCAAGAAGGGAAGGACGGGGTCTTCAAGGTGGCATCAGGAAGGGTTTGGGGGTTGTTGGGGTGCACGGGGACAGCTGGGGTGGCATTGGGCTGCTGGGGTCGAGCAGAATTCAGCCCCAACCCAAAATGAGCTGCGAGAGGTTTCCATGGGGTTGAAAAAAAGCTCTGGGGACAATTTTGGGCCAAGAAGGGAAGGACGGGGTCTTCAAGGTGGCATCAGGAAGGGTTTGGGGGTTGTTGGGGTGCACGGGGACAGCTGGGGTGGCATTGGGCTGCTGGGGTCGAGCAGAATTCAGCCCCAACCCAAAATGAGCTGCGAGAGGTTTCCATGGGGTTGAAAAAAAGCTCTGGGGACAATTTTGGGCCAAGAAGGGAAGGACGGGGTCTTCAAGGTGGCATCAGGAAGGGTTTGGGGGTTGTTGGGGTGCACGGGGACAGCTGGGGTGGCATTGGGCTGCTGGGGTCGAGCAGAATTCAGCCCCAACCCAAAATGAGCTGCGAGAGGTTTCCATGGGGTTGAAAAAAAGCTCTGGGGACAATTTTGGGCCAAGAAGGGAAGGACGGGGTCTTCAAGGTGGCATCAGGAAGGGTTTGGGGGTTGTTGGGGTGCACGGGGACAGCTGGGGTGGCATTGGGCTGCTGGGGTCGAGCAGAATTCAGCCCCAACCCAAAATGAGCTGCGAGAGGTTTCCATGGGGTTGAAAAAAAGCTCTGGGGACAATTTTGGGCCAAGAAGGGAAGGACGGGGTCTTCAAGGTGGCATCAGGAAGGGTTTGGGGGTTGTTGGGGTGCACGGGGACAGCTGGGGTGGCATTGGGCTGCTGGGGTCGAGCAGAATTCAGCCCCAACCCAAAATGAGCTGCGAGAGGTTTCCATGGGGTTGAAAAAAAGCTCTGGGGACAATTTTGGGCCAAGAAGGGAAGGACGGGGTCTTCAAGGTGGCATCAGGAAGGGTTTGGGGGTTGTTGGGGTGCACGGGGACAGCTGGGGTGGCATTGGGCTGCTGGGGTCGAGCAGAATTCAGCCCCAACCCAAAATGAGCTGCGAGAGGTTTCCATGGGGTTGAAAAAAAGCTCTGGGGACAATTTTGGGCCAAGAAGGGAAGGACGGGGTCTTCAAGGTGGCATCAGGAAGGGTTTGGGGGTTGTTGGGGTGCACGGGGACAGCTGGGGTGGCATTGGGCTGCTGGGGTCGAGCAGAATTCAGCCCCAACCCAAAATGAGCTGCGAGAGGTTTCCATGGGGTTGAAAAAAAGCTCTGGGGACAATTTTGGGCCAAGAAGGGAAGGACGGGGTCTTCAAGGTGGCATCAGGAAGGGTTTGGGGGTTGTTGGGGTGCACGGGGACAGCTGGGGTGGCATTGGGCTGCTGGGGTCGAGCAGAATTCAGCCCCAACCCAAAATGAGCTGCGAGAGGTTTCCATGGGGTTGAAAAAAAGCTCTGGGGACAATTTTGGGCCAAGAAGGGAAGGACGGGGTCTTCAAGGTGGCATCAGGAAGGGTTTGGGGGTTGTTGGGGTGCACGGGGACAGCTGGGGTGGCATTGGGCTGCTGGGGTCGAGCAGAATTCAGCCCCAACCCAAAATGAGCTGCGAGAGGTTTCCATGGGGTTGAAAAAAAGCTCTGGGGACAATTTTGGGCCAAGAAGGGAAGGACGGGGTCTTCAAGGTGGCATCAGGAAGGGTTTGGGGGTTGTTGGGGTGCACGGGGACAGCTGGGGTGGCATTGGGCTGCTGGGGTCGAGCAGAATTCAGCCCCAACCCAAAATGAGCTGCGAGAGGTTTCCATGGGGTTGAAAAAAAGCTCTGGGGACAATTTTGGGCCAAGAAGGGAAGGACGGGGTCTTCAAGGTGGCATCAGGAAGGGTTTGGGGGTTGTTGGGGTGCACGGGGACAGCTGGGGTGGCATTGGGCTGCTGGGGTCGAGCAGAATTCAGCCCCAACCCAAAATGAGCTGCGAGAGGTTTCCATGGGGTTGAAAAAAAGCTCTGGGGACAATTTTGGGCCAAGAAGGGAAGGACGGGGTCTTCAAGGTGGCATCAGGAAGGGTTTGGGGGTTGTTGGGGTGCACGGGGACAGCTGGGGTGGCATTGGGCTGCTGGGGTCGAGCAGAATTCAGCCCCAACCCAAAATGAGCTGCGAGAGGTTTCCATGGGGTTGAAAAAAAGCTCTGGGGACAATTTTGGGCCAAGAAGGGAAGGACGGGGTCTTCAAGGTGGCATCAGGAAGGGTTTGGGGGTTGTTGGGGTGCACGGGGACAGCTGGGGTGGCATTGGGCTGCTGGGGTCGAGCAGAATTCAGCCCCAACCCAAAATGAGCTGCGAGAGGTTTCCATGGGGTTGAAAAAAAGCTCTGGGGACAATTTTGGGCCAAGAAGGGAAGGACGGGGTCTTCAAGGTGGCATCAGGAAGGGTTTGGGGGTTGTTGGGGTGCACGGGGACAGCTGGGGTGGCATTGGGCTGCTGGGGTCGAGCAGAATTCAGCCCCAACCCAAAATGAGCTGCGAGAGGTTTCCATGGGGTTGAAAAAAAGCTCTGGGGACAATTTTGGGCCAAGAAGGGAAGGACGGGGTCTTCAAGGTGGCATCAGGAAGGGTTTGGGGGTTGTTGGGGTGCACGGGGACAGCTGGGGTGGCATTGGGCTGCTGGGGTCGAGCAGAATTCAGCCCCAACCCAAAATGAGCTGCGAGAGGTTTCCATGGGGTTGAAAAAAAGCTCTGGGGACAATTTTGGGCCAAGAAGGGAAGGACGGGGTCTTCAAGGTGGCATCAGGAAGGGTTTGGGGGTTGTTGGGGTGCACGGGGACAGCTGGGGTGGCATTGGGCTGCTGGGGTCGAGCAGAATTCAGCCCCAACCCAAAATGAGCTGCGAGAGGTTTCCGTGGGGTAGAAAAAAAAAGCTTTGGGGACAATTTTGGGCCACACGGGGATGTTGGGGACACCTGGGGCCTCTCTGGGCTCCTCCTCATCCTCGTGTGGCTTTTTTTGCCCCCCAAAAAGTGCATTTTTCCTATTTTTCGGGCTTTTTACCCCCAGCGATGGCGACGGGCAGGACGTGGCGGCTCCCAGCCTGGCTTCTTCTCTTCTGTGGTGAGCAACAACCCAACCCCATTCCCTCCCTCCCCCAAAAAACCCCAAATTTCCCAGCTTTGGGTGTTATTTTAAGGTTTTCTGCAGCCAAAAATCCTTATTCCCTCTTGATTTGTTTCTCCGAAAATTTCCCTTATTCCCTCATTTTCCCCCGGCAAAAAGATTTTGGGATGGCTTTGCCTTTTCACCAAAAATCTCTCATCCCCTGATTTTTTTTTTCGCACCGAAAATCCCTTATCCCCTGCTTTTTTTTTTTTAGCAAAGAGCCCTTCTCACCTTTTTTTTCCCCCGAAAAAAAGCCCTTATTTCTTAATTTTTTAAAGAAAAATGCACTTGTTCCCTGTTTGGGGTTTTTTTTTAAGGTAAAAAAATTAATTCTTATTACCTGTTTGGGGTTTTTTTCCAGAAAAAAAAAGCCTTTATACACTGGGGCTTGCTTTTAGTGGGGGAAAAAGCCCTTATTACCTTTTTTTTTTAAGGAAAAAACCTTTTTATTTGGTTTTATTTTAAGAAAAAACATCCTTATTCCTCATTTACCCCTTTGCTTTTTAGCTCAGGGAAAAAAGCCTTTATCTGGTTGGGTTTTTCCCCAGGAAAAAAGTCTTTATTCCCTATTTCTTTCAGAAAAAAAAGCCCTTACCACCTATATATATATTTTTTTCCCCCAAAAAAAGTCATTATTACCTGTTTTCTTTCACTCAAATGCCCCTATTACCACTTTTTTCCCCCAAAAAAGCCCTTATTACCTTTTATTTCCAGAAAAAAAAAGCCCTTATCACACTTTCCTTACAAGAAAAAGCCCTTATCCCCCTTTTTTTAGGTAAGGAATTCCTGGTTTTTCACCAACCCTTGCTCTCACCCCTTTATTTTTCAGCAAAAAAAACCCCTTATTAGCGATTTTCTTTCTGAAAAAACTCAATTTTGGAGGAAAAACCCCTAATTACCTGTTTTTATTTCCAGCCAAACCTCGTTATTCCCTGTTTTTCACCAAAGCGCCCTCATTCCCTGTTTCCTTTAAGGGGAAAAAAAGGCCTAAATTTCTTGGTTTTCCCCCAAAAAAGCCTTTATTACCTGTTTTTTCCTTAAAAAAAAACCCTTATCACCTGTTTTTTTGTTGGTTTTTTTGCTTGCTCAGTTGGTTTTATTAAGCAAAAACCCTTTATCACCTCTTTGTTGGTTTTTTTTTTTCCCGGTAGACCCCTAATTTCTTGATTTATTTTTTTTTTTTCCCCAAAAAATCCCTATTACCTCTTTGGTTTGGAGCATAAAGCTCTTATTCCCAAGTTCTTAAGGAAAAAAATCTTATTTTCTATGGTTTGGGTGGGGTTTTTCCTTAAAAAAATACGCTCCTCACCTGTTTGTGACCCAAAATGCCATTTTTTTTTCCCCTCGTTCGGGTTTTTTTTAATTATTATGATGAAAATTAAAGCCTATTTTACCTATTCGGTTTGCGGGTTTTTTGCCTTTAATAGAAAAAAAACCTTTTTAACCCGTTTTTGGTGGTGATTGGGTTGTTTTTGTTTTTTTTTTAAGAAAAAGCCCTTAATCTCTTGTGGTTTTATAGCGTTAAAAAGCCCGTAATATCGGGGTTTTTCAGTTTGTGGAATTTGGGGTTTTTTAATTACCTTATTACCTATTTTCTCAGAGGAAAAAAAAAGCCCTTATCACCTGTTTCTCACCAAAACCTTAATTATTTTTATTTTCCTTTCAGAAAAAGCCCTTATCACCTGTATTTTTTACGAAAAAAACCTTAATATTTTTTTTTTTAGGAAACAGCCACCCACCTGGGTGTGTGTTTTTGGGGAAAAAAGAGGGGAAAAAAGGAAAAAAAGAGGGGAAAAAAAGAAAAAAAAAGCGCTTTTAACCTGTTTTTTCCTTGGGTTTGTTGGTTTTTTTAAAGAAAAACCTGTATTTCCTCAGAGTTTTTCGTCAAAAAACCCTGACAATTTGGGGTTTTTTCACCAAAAATCCCTTCTTACTCCTTTTTGGAAAAAGCCCATATTCCCCGCTTTTTTCCCCGTAAAAAAATCTTTATTTCCCTCAGCAACAAAAGCCCTGAGAACCTGAGGTTTAAACCAAAAACCAATTTATTTTTATTTTTATTGGAGGCTTTTCAGGACATTCGACTGCAATTTCTGCATCCAAAAAACCTTTTTTCCCCCTTTTTTTTTTTTCCCTGCAGATTTCTTCTGCAAAATGCCCTTATTCCCGATTTTATTTGGGGGGCTTTTCTATTACAATTTCTGCAATAAAACTCCTTTATTATGTGCTTTAAAAAAACCAAAAACAACACCAAAAAAACCCCAAAAAGCCCCAACCCCACGCTTTCTATTGGAATTTCTGCAGCAAAAAAAGCTTTTATTCCCCTATTTTTAGTTTTCAAGACTTTCCGACTGTCCATTTCCGCAAGAAAAAAATACGAATTTATTCCCTAATTTCCAATTTTCAGAAATTTCTGTCGCAATTTCCGGAGCAAAATTTCTTCCCCCGTTTCTTCACAACTTTCTACAGGGTGATTCTGCAGCAAAAAAAAAACGTTATTCCTGATTTTTTAAAAAATTTTTTCTAGAATATTCTACGGCAGGTTTTTTCAGGCAAAAAATCCCGTCATTCCTTGGTTTTTGTAAAAATTCCTATCACAAGTTTCTGTACCAAAAAAAAAAGCAGATTTACTTCTTGATTTCGCTTATTTTTTTTGCCGAAAATTTCTAATTTCTGCCAAAAAAAAACCCACCAAACCCCCTTTTTTCCCTGCTTTTTCCCAGGTCTTTCCACCGCGACATTCCGCGGCAAGGAATTCTTCACCGTCTTCCTCCAGAACGATGAGGAAGGCACCCTCCCCAGCATCCAGCTCCTCATCACCGCTTACTCTGACTCCACCAAGGTGACGGTGACGATGAGCGGTGGCACCTTCACCGAAACCGTCACCCTCGGGAAAGACGAAACGGTTTCTGTCCGCGTTCCCGGGACCTTGCATCTCATCGGCAGGGGCCGGTCTCGGTAAAGCAGCCGCCGTTCGGATAAAGCCATCTTGATTGAGTCCACCAAAGACGTCTCCGTGGTCTCCGTCAACTCCAAAAGTTACACCGTGGGTGCCACCGCCATTTTGCCCGTAGATAAGTTGGGCAACAAATATTACGTGGTGACGCCAGAGGGTAGCAAGAAAGAAGGCTTGAAGGAGTTTGTCGTGGCCGCCGGGAAGACTTCGGCCACCGTTTCCATCAACGTGAAGGGCAAGTTTTATTACAGAGGGAGGAATTACTCCCCTGGGTCGACGCTCCGCATCTTCTTGGACCCCTACCACAGCTTCCAACTGCAAAGCAGCTATGATTTGTCAGGCACCAAGATCACGTCGGACAACGCCGTTGCCGTCCTCAGCGGGCACACCTGCGTGAAGATGCACACGGGCTGCGACTACGTGGTCGAGCAGCTTCTGCCCGTCGCCGCATGGGGGAAAGCCTACGTCGTCCCCCCCAACCCCTTGCAGAAGGACGCCAACTTCATCTACGTCGTGGCGGACGAGAAAGCCTCCATCACCTACAAGAAGGGTAATTCGGCTGCCACTAAGGACATCGCGGCCGGGGAGGTCCGCAAGTTTGAGATCGGTGAAAATTCGCCTTTTTACGTGAGCGCTTCGGCTGCGATTCAGGTGGTTTACTTCTTCACCGGTGCCAAGAAGGGCTCGCTTCGGCAAGACCCCTTCCTACTCAACGTCCCACCCGTCTCCGCCTACTGCACGTCCTACCGGATCAGCAGCCTGGATGGCTACGAGAACCACATGGTCCTCGTTGCCCGAAACGCGGACGCCAGCACCACCACCCTCAACCAGAATCCGGAGAGGAGCGTGTCCTGGCAAGCGATTCCCGGCACCGAGTTCTCCTGGGCCACCGTCACCATGAGCAAACCAACAGAAATCCAGACCGTTGAGCACCAGCGGACACCCTTTGGGCTCCTGGTCTTCGGCTTCCAGAATTACGCCGGTTACGGTTTCACCGGTCTTTGCGCCACGCGTAAGTAGGACCAACGCATGGTTGCGTCTTGCCAATGGCCAGGTCTTCTCCGTGGTTGCCATCCATGTTTTGTTTTGTTTTCCTTTTTCTGCAGCTTCTGCTCCGTCTTCCCCCGAAGACTCGAGCTGCGAGGAGAAATGCGAGGTGGTGGACAGACACAGCACGCACTTCCAAGACACCTCGACCTGCTGGGCCACCGGCGATCCCCACTACCAAACCTTCGATGGGAAAACCTTCGATTTCATGGGCACGTGCACCTACACCTTGACCAAGACCTGCGATCCGGATCCGACCCTGCCCATCTTCAGCGTCGAGGCCAAAAACGAACACAGGGGTAACCTGAAAGTCTCCTACATCGGCTCCGTGACCGTCCGCGTCTACGATATTACCATCGCTGTGGGCAGGTCCGAGAACGGGATCGTGAAGGTATGCAAGACAAATAATTATCAATATTATGGTATTTCTCTGGAATAATGTGTTTAATGATGATCTCAAGGGTCTTTTCCAACCTAAATGATTCTATCATTTGCTTCGCGTGAGTTGGTGACGCTACTGCACGGTCATCTCTTGCAAGAAGACACCTCAAAGCTCAACAAACTCCTTTTTTTTGCCCCATGTTTGGTGTTATTTGTCTGGTTTTTTCCCATGTTTTCTTTCTCTCCTCCAGGTGAACAACCAGCGCTCCCACCTCCCCATCTCCCTCGCCCAAGGGAACCTCCAGCTGCAGCAGAAGGGCAAGTCCGTGCTGATTAAAACCAACTTTGGGCTGAAGATTCTCTACGATTGGGATGACCACGTGGTGGTGGAGCTCCCCGGTACGTTCTCCGGCAAAGTGTGCGGGATGTGCGGCAACAACAACGGCGATCCCCAGGATGATTCCCTCATGCCTGATGGCAACCTGGCGCTGGATGCCGTGGAGCTGGCCCGGAGTTGGAAGGTGGCCGATGAGAGCCATCGCTGCTGGGACACCTGCAGCGGGGACTGCGGACGTTGCCGATGGGACGAGGCGGCGAAATATAGGGGGGAGACGTCGTGCGGGTTGCTCACCAAACGCGCGGGACCCTTCGAGCGCTGCCACGCCACCGTCAACCCCAACATCTACCTGAAAAACTGCGTCTACGACGTCTGCGTGAACGATGGGCTCCACATGAAGCTGTGCCAAGCCCTCAAAGCCTACGCGGACAGCTGCCAGGAGGCGGGAATCACCGTTTCTGACTGGAGGACGCTGGCACGTTGTCGTGAGTAGCTCCTGGTTGCCAGAAAATCTTCCTCCTGGGTGGGCAGGGTGCTGTGACTTTAAGGTGGGTGTAATGAAGGTGCGATGGGATGGGACTGAGCAAGAAACAGCCATGGAAGGGAAATTGCACCAACGGGGATGTTTGTCTCTTCTTAGTGCTCTTGATCTCGCAAACGAGGTGGAGCTGGGTCATTTTGGCTGCCCAAAGCTGGGCCTGAAAGGGCTGCAGGTCCCAAGCGTGCAGGCTGGAAACGGTTAATGAAGCGAGTCCAAGCAGAAAGCCCAAAAAGTCCATGCAGACTCCAGCAAGTTGATGGAAACTCCAGAAAGTCTATGTAGAAAGTCCAGAAAGTCCACGTGGAAAGTCTGTGTAGAAACTCCAGAAAGTCCAAGCCCCAAAAGTCCAAGCAGAAAGTCCAAAAAGTCTGTGCAGGCTCCCAAAAGTCTCTGCTGAAAGTCCATGCAGGCTCCAGAAGCATGTCCATGCAGAAGGTCCCGGGAGTCCATGGAGACTCCAAAAAACCCATACAGAAGGTCCCAGGAGCCCATGGAGACTCCAAAAAACCCATGCAGAAGGTCCAGGGAGTGCATGGAGACTCCCAAAAGTCCTAGTAGATAGTCCTGAAAGTCCAACTCCCAAAAGTCCATGCAGAAGGTCCAGAAAGTCCATGGAGACCACAAAAAACCCCATGCAGAAGGTCCCATGAGTCCATGGAGACTCCAAAAAACCCATGCAGAAGGTCCGGGGAGTGCATGGAGACTCCCAAAAGTCCTAGTAGATAGTCCTGAAAGTCCAAGTCCCAAAAGTCCATGCAGAAGGTCCATTCAGGAGGTACAGAGTCCTTGGAGACTCTAAAAAGTCTCTGCTGAAAGTCCAGGGAGTCCATGCAGGCTCCAGAAAGTCTGTGCAGAAAGACCAAGTCCCAGAGTCCATGCAGAAGGTCCCAGGAGTCCATGGATACCACAAAAAACCCCATGCAGAAGGTCCCATGAGTCCATGGAGACTCCAAAAAACCCATGCAGAAGGTCCCGGGAGACCATGGAGACTCCAAAAAATCCATGCAGAAGGTCCCGGGAGTCCACGGAGACTCCAAAAAATCCATGCAGAAGGTCCCGGGAGCCCACAGAGACTCCCAAAAGTCCTAGTAGATAGTCCTGAAAGTCCAAGTCCCAAAAGTCCATGCAGAAGGTCCAGAAAGTCCATGGAGACTCCCAAAAGTCCAGGTAGATAGTCCAGAAAGTCTAGGAAGTCCATGCAGACTTCAGAAGATCCACGTAGAAGGTCTGGAAAGTCCATGGAGACTCTAGAAGGTACATGTAGGACTCCAGAAAGCCCACGCAGGTTTCCTTAGCTCTCTGTTGCACCTTCTGATGGCCAAGGAGCATTATCCCCACCGTGACCATGGCGTCCCATCCCTTCGACAGCTCTCTCCTGCCCGAAGAACAGCAATTACACCACGTGCGGCACCGCCTGCCCCGCCACCTGCAACAACGGCGCGATGCCCGCCAACTGCGCCGCCTCGGCCTGCGTGGAGACCTGCCAGTGCCAGGAGGGCTTCGTGTTCGATGCCAACGAGTGCATCCCCCAGCACGAGTGCGGCTGCGTCTTCGAGGGCCTCCTCCACAGCCTCCACGAGGAATTTTGGGGGGACAGCACCTGCACCAAACGCTGCCTCTGCAACGCGCAATCCCAGAGCGCCGTATGCCGCTGGGCCGGCTGCCGTGCCGGGGAAGAATGCCGGGTGGAGGACGGCATCCGGGATTGTTATCCCAAGAGCTACAAGACCTGCGCAGCGGTCGGTGCCACCCACTACAAGAGCTTCGATGGCGGGGAGTTCATCTTCCAGGGCACGTGCCAGTACCAGTTCGCTGGGTTGTGCGAGAAGAGCCAAGGTCTGGTGGACTTCCAGGTGCTGGTGCAGAACGGCCGCCAGGACGACAAACTTTTGTCCTCCATCGCCCTCGTGACGGTCAAAGTCTACGGCAAAAACATCGTGCTCAGCCAGGAACACCCCGGCAAAATCACGGTGAGTTTAGCAACCGTTTCGTTATTTCATCTCTACGTTCTTCGCTTTCTGCTCCTCACCCCGGCCTCCTTGTCCCATTTCTTCTTTTCCTCTTTTTTTTTTTTTTTTCCTCCACATTGGGTAACGCTGATTATTTTTCGCCAACCGCGCTGCTCAGATCCAGAGCTACCAGGTCTCTCTGCCCCATGTTAATCAAGATGAGATTTAATTGCCTAAATATAAGGCTCGCCACCTGAAGCGGGAGATTGGCGCCTTGATGTAAGCTGCGGAGCTTCAATTCCCCTCAAAGCTGGCGGGCATCTGCATTTGGGGCAGATGATTAAATCTAAAAAGGCTTCGTCTACGTAATTTGGGTGCTTTGGCTGGAGCCCGAATCGCAGGCGGCGTGAAAACGCAATTTGCCTTTGCTGTTGGATGCCAAATTTGGGTTTTTTGTTTGTTTTTTTTTTTTGCTTTTGTCCCCAGATTAATGACCAGTTGGCCAACCTACCGTATCACCACAGAGATAAGAAGGTCTCCATCTACAGAGCCGGGCAGGAGGTGGTGGTGGAGACAAACTTTGGCCTCACCGTCACCTACGACTGGCAAAGCCAAGTCACCGTGACAGTGCCCAGCAGTTACGCAAACGCCGTCTGTGGCCTCTGCGGGAACTACAACGGGAACGTGGGCGATGAGATGATGATGAAGAACGGCCAAGTGACATCAAACCCAGACGCTTTGGGGCACAGCTGGAAGGTGACCGACATCCCGGGTTGCGTGGAACTGTCGAAGTCACAATGTCCTGGCATGGTGGCGGCTCTGCAGCACCAGGAGAGCTCCAAGATGGGTTGTGGGATCATCTCGCGAGTGGGCGGACCCTTCGGAGCTTGCCATGCTCACGTGGACGCCGTCAAATACTTCCAAAACTGCGTGCATGATTTTTGCCTCTTCCCGGATCAGAAAAATGCGATATGCCTGGTCATCGCCCGCTACACCGCTGCCTGCCAGGCTGCTGGCGTGACTGTCGGGAGCTGGAGGACGGACGATTTCTGCAGTAAGTTGGGCTAATTGGTGGGATTTCTTCTTCGTGAGGGATCATGAGCGTCGAAGGGAACCCCAATCCTAGGCCAAACCCTTGCGGGGACAAACCGGAGGTGGGAATCGCCTCATTTAACGGTGCTTCATCCCACCCAAAGTCTAGGTTGGTCTCCTCATCTCTTTTTACAGCCCACGCCCAGAAACAAACCCTTCCAGGGAACTGGATGTCCCATCTGGCTACGATGGGTCGAATAATTTAGCCTTAATAAGCAGCAATTTCTTTGCGTTGGCTAAAACGAGAGTGAGGGTTGATTGCCTGGATCGTTTAGGGGACAAAACTCATGTAGATGCCCCAAAAATATTTAAATTAGGGGAGAGGGACCTGGAGGTTGACTGGGGACCCAACGCCGGAGCAATTCTGTTGCTTGAGGGAACGTCCTCGTTTCAGTGGGGAAAACCAAGTGGTTTGGGGCCTAAAACCCTTACGGACACCCCTTCCCTCGTCACGTCCGCCGTGAGGAGGAGATGAGATTTAACCACGGAGCAATTGGGTAAAAAAAAAAAATATCTGCATCGGATGAACCTCATCGCCAGGCACAACTATCCCGAATTGCAGGAAAATTGCAGGATCCGACCTGTAATTTCTTTGCTCCTAAGGAATCTCCGTGTCTCGTGGCAGGTATTTCGTGTCCCACGAACAGCCACTACGAGCTCTGCTCCCAGGACTGCGGCCAGACCTGCAGCAGCATCTACACCCCGATGAAATGCTCGGAGCGGTGCAAGGAGGGCTGCGTGTGCGACGAAGGCTTCGTGCTCAGCGGTGACGAGTGCGTCCCCATTTCCCGGTGCGGATGCCTCCATCAGGGCTTCTACTACAAGGCGGAGGAGATCTTCTTACCCACCAAGGAGGAGAAATGTCAGTGCCACGCTGGCGGCACTGTGGAATGCCAAAAAATTTCTTGCCCCGAAGGCAGCGAAGGTAAAATCATCGATGGGGTCTTCCAATGCACGTCTGCCAGGCTCAGGGCCTGCGTGGCCACCGGTGACCGCAACTATATCTCCTTCGATGGGATGGCTTTCAACATCTCGGGCACCTGCTCCTACATCCTCACGGAGACCTGCGACGGTGATGACGTCAAACCATTTGTTGTGAAAATTGAGAAGGACGCCCGGCAAAAGAGGAAGGTCTCCGGCATCCAAGCGTTGTCCGTTGAAGTCTACGGGCTCACGTTGACCTTGACACGAGGCAAGAGGGGAGACGTCAAGGTAAGGCGGCGCTTCGTGGTCCACCTCTTTCTGGGCGCAAAGGTGCTGGTGACAAAGTCTACGGGCTCACGTTGACTCTGCCGTGAGGCAAGAGGGACGCCGTCGCGGGAGGGACGCCGTCGCGGGAGGTCCGCGCGTGGTGGTCCACCTCTTTTAGGGTGCAAATACGCTGGCGTCAAAGTCTACGGGCTCGCGTTGACTCTGGCGTGAAGCGAGAGCTGCGTGGTCGCGGTAAAGCCGTGTTTTGTTGTCCACCTCCTTTTCGGGTGCGAACATGGGAGGCTAAAAACTGGTTTTGCTTGATGGAGGGAAGCCCTCGCTCCTATCTCCAAAACAAAGCCACGCTCGTCCCCACTTTGCCTTCCAGTTTCAAACTGGGAGCCATAAATTCGTTCAAAGGTTGGTTGGAATGTGTTTTCCCCCAAAGTTTTTTTTGTTCCTGCCTCCGTAGCCGTCTCCTTGTAGCGTCCCTGAGGCTCATGGGAGGATTTCTCTCTCCCTGCCCCAGGTGAACTCCATATCCCACCACCTCCCGGCCATCCTGAGCAAGGGACGGGTCCAGGTGCACCAACACGGGATGGGCGTCCTGCTTCAGACTGACTTCGGCCTCATCATACGCTATGACCTCCTCCATCACGTGATGGTCATGGTCCCGCAGAGCTACCGGGGCCACCTCTGTGGGCTTTGTGGCAACTACAACGGGCAACGCAACGATGATCTCCTCCTCCCCAGCGGCCAACAGGCCCCCAACGCGATGGTTTTTGGCTCTGCTTGGAAAACTCCCGACGTCTCCTGCAACGATGACTGCTCCAAGGACGACTGCCCCGTCTGCACGCAGGAGAAGAAGATGGTCCTGCAGAAACCCAACTACTGCGGCATCCTCACGGTCTCGAGGGGCCCCTTCGAATCCTGCCACAGCCTCATCGACCCGGCCCCGTATTTCCAAGCCTGCCTCCACGACGTTTGCCTCGCTGAGGGGGACACCCGCGTCCTCTGCCAGAGCATCCAGAGCTACGCCGCCACTTGCCAAGACGCCGGCGTCATCATTGAGGCTTGGAGAAGACCATCCTTCTGCCGTAAGTGGGGGGGACACGGGTGGGAAACGTCCTCCATGGCCGGGAAGTCAAATCTCATTAGGATTAATTGCAAAATAGGGCTTTACAATTTATTTCAAAAGGACGTTGGGGCCGGGTGGCCGCGCTGACCACCCTTGACGCGTGGGGTGACGCAAACGGTGCCGTTGGGTTGGGAGCTCAGGGTGGGGAGGACGACGACGGCGTGAAAATAATTGCAGCGTTGGGAGACGCCAACGCCAGGGGGTGCGTTTTCATTGGGGCTGAATGCGAAAAGCCAACGGGGGGGAACTTTCCCTGATGCCGGGGGCGAACGGGGAAAAGCCGACGCCAAGAAAAACGCGCCAGCCAGGTGATCGCGTTGGCTTTTCCCTCTCGCCCCCAACACCGTTGCGTTTTGCGTCAGCGTTCGGGCTCTGCCGTCTCCCTGGGGTGCAACTTGGGCTTCTCACCCTTTTTCCTTCCAGCCCTCAGCTGCCCGGCCAACAGCAGCTACTCCCTCTGCACCAACCTCTGCGTCAACAGTTGCCCAGGGCTTGTAGATGCCTCCAAATGCCCCAAAACCTGTGCCGAAGCCTGCCAGTGCGATAAAGGGTACACCTTTGACGGGGACGGCTGCGTCACCGAGGACAAATGCGGATGCTTTGTGGATGGGAGATACTACAAGGTAGGCATCTCCTCGATTTGGGGGGATTTGCGGGGGTTTTAACCTTTTCCTCCTGCCTGTCTCGCAGCACGTGGCTCTGAAGGCGACGTCCGCGCGGCCCGAAGCAGAAAAATAACCCTCAAAATCTTCCACTCTTGCCGAGAGATTCTGTGCTTTCCTATGAAGAAAATCGGGGCGTTTCCATCTCTTTTATCGCTTGCCATAACGGTGCCAGCACAGACGTGGATGCCCAGAGAGTAGCTACGCTTTCCGCAGCTGAAGGTGCTAAATAATAACGTATTTTTCCTTCAGAGGAGGTGGAAGAGGGCAAAAAGTTGGATTTTCTCTGCGTGTTTTTTTTTTCCTTGCGACAAAAGCGATAAATTCCTCGGCCATTTTACATTTTGCATTTTGCAAAGCTGCTTATTCTCTCCAGTGGCCCTCGAGAGACGGGGTTTTTTTCCCCCTTTTACGTATTTTTATGCGCTTACGTGTAACGCAGTTCGCTCTTCTCATCGCGACGCTTTGCGACCTCTCGCCCCGCAGCCCCACGAGTCGGTTTTGAAGGATAACTGCCAGCGGCGTTGCACGTGCGACCCCAGCAAGGGCTTGGCTTGCGGCAGCCACAGCTGCACTGATGACGAAACCTGTGAAATAAAGGACGGGGTCTTGGGTTGCATCAATCACAGTAAGGAAAAACAAAAAAAAATGGGGTGATTTAGAGGTGTGGGCTGAGGTGGAAACCCTCCAAGCAAGAGGAGATGGAGGCCACAGGTCCCATCTCCAACCCAAAGAGGGTCCGGGATGCGGATTTCGGAGGAGCAAAGCGCTTCAGGAAAAAAAAATGAGCCCTTGGCTTCGCGTCCACCCAGATGTCCTCTTTTAACCACGGTGGCACCTTCCTGAAGGACGGGTGCCATCTTGGGTAACGATGAACCCCATCTTGACGCTTTTCCAAGCAATGGGTGCAGAAAGGCAGCCAAAAAGGGAAAATTTGGGGTTGGTGATGGTTTGTCGGGCTCCGATTTACATCTCGGAGCTGCCAGTCTCCTGCCAAAGCCCAAAGGGGAGCAGAGGACACTTGGTGGGACCCCAACACCGGTGAAGATGCTTGGTTTGCATGGTGATATGGGATCTGCCCCTCACCAGGACATCTTCCGTGGTTTCTCCCATGGTTTCTTCTCCTTCCAGACCCCTGCAAAGCCATTCAGTGCCGGCCCAAGGAGAAGTGTGAGTTGAAGGACGGCCAAGCCAAGTGTGTCCCAACCCTGGTTGCTACCTGCTGGGGTTGGGGGGACCCCCACTACCACACCTTCGACCAGCTCGATTTCGACTTCCAAGGCACCTGCACCTACACCATGGCCGAATCCTGCGGGAACGACAGCAGATTGGTACCCTTCAAGGTGGAGGGCAAGAACGACATCCGCGGCGGGGTGAAATCAGTCTCCTACGTGAGCTTGGCCAACATCAAGGTCTATGGCCAACACGTCTCCATCCACCGGAGGGAAGTGGGCAAAGTCAGGGTGAGTTGGCCTAAAATGGAGGGAAAATTGGCCTTTCCCCACCTCTTTTTTTTCATCCATCTCTTCCCCACCTCCTTTTTTTTGTCCGTCTCCTCCATCATGTTCAACACCTCTTCCCGCTCCATCAGGGCCACCGTGATTTTTAGCTGAATCAATCAAACTGGAATGGGAATTTTTGAAATGTTGGGATATGCCGGGAATACGCTGCCTTGTGTGGAGCAGCCTCAGGTTGGTTTCTGCCCCTTTGGGGAAGCCAAACCCACCAAAGGTGGCTGCGGTAGGTCTCCAAGAAACCTCAAAGCCGGTGGGACGCCCCCCCGGCAGGTTGGCGGTGGCAGCCGGCGCGGGTGAGGCAAAAGCAAAGCTTGATGAAGGCAGTGATGTCATGAAACTGGAGGGGGTTTGAGGCACGGAGCATCTCGGCAGCCCCTGATGGGGCTTGGCTCCAAGTTTGGAGCTCACGGTGGGTGGTTGCACGCCGTAATGGTGTTTTGCTCGCTGCAGCAGTGATTGCACGCTGCAGCAGGTGGTTGCACGCCCTAGGAGCGCTGCAAGGCTGATTGCACGCTGCAGCAGGTGGTTGCACGCCTTAGGAGCGCTGTGACGCTGATTGCACACCCCAGCGAGTGGTTGCACGCCCTAGGAGCGCTGCAAGACTGATTGCAAATCCCGGTGAATGGTTGCATGCCGCAGCGCCATGCTGCGTGCTTGCATTGCTACAGCGGGTGATTGCATGCTGCAGCATCACTGCAGCAGGCAATTGCATGTTGCAGCAGGCAATTACGCTCCTCAGCAGTGCTTGCACGCTGTGGCAGGCCTTGGTCCACCGTCCCAGCAAACATTGCACCCTGCAGCAGGTGATTGCATGTTGCAGCATCGCCGTAGCGGCAATTGCACGCTGCAGCGGGTGACTGCGTGCTGCAGGATCACTGCAGCAGCGATGGCACATCAGGCAGTGGTTCCCCGGCCTCAGCATCGCTGCAGCAGGGGGGTTGCGTGCCATAAAGGTGGTCGCCTGTTGCAGCAACACCCCAGCAGTAACCGCGTGCTGCAGTGGGCAGCTGCAGAGACGTGGCATGCTGCTGCAAGGCGATGGCACGGTGCTGCGAGCACGTGCGCGCCACTGCAAAGCAATTGCCCGCCGCTGCATCACCACAGCAAGGCAATGGCGTGCTGCAGCACCCCGGTAGCAACTGCCCACCGCAGCAGGCCATCAAGTGCCACGGCGAGGCGATCGCGCGCCGCAGCGAGCAACGGCCGCGGAAGCGATGGCGGGGTGATTGCGTGCCGCAGCCGAGGCGGTTGCACGCCCCGAGCCGGTGCGTGTGCTTCAGGCTCCCGTTTGGTGCTCCTCACCCGCAGGTGGACGGCGTGGTGACGCTGCTGCCGGTGAGCCTGGAGGATGGCAAGATTCAGGTCTTCCAGAGCGGGCTGACCGCCGTGCTGGAGACGGATTTTGGGCTCCGGGTTACGTACGACTGGAACTGGCATTTGGTCATCGACCTCCCCAGCAGCTACTACAAACACACCTGCGGCCTCTGCGGCAACTTCAACCTCAAACCCGAGGACGACGTCCCCCAGCGCGGCAGCGACGTCGCCGCCGTGGTGGCCTGGGCTGAAGGCTGGAAAGTCCTTGAAGACGATGACCCGTTTTGTTGGGATTACTGCGAAGGCAACTGCCCGGTGTGCGAGGAAGAGAAAAAGGAGCTCTACGGGGGCAACCAGTACTGCGGGCTCATAAAAAAAACCTTCCAAGGGCCCTTCAAGGCTTGCCACGACGTCGTCAAGCCCCGGGATTTCTACCGCAACTGCCTCTACGACGTGTGCATAAACGATGGAGCGAAGAAAATCCTCTGCCAGGTGCTGGAGGCTTACGCGTCCACCTGCAAGAAGAACGGGGCCGTCGTGCATGACTGGAGGACGCCCTCGGGCTGCCGTAAGCAAGGGGTTTCCTCCTCAGTTTACGTGGCGGGGTGGTTTTTGCAAAGAAGGGGAATATCTAGCATGGGATGATGCGTGCAGAGCGCTCGGCGCGTTTGCACGGCGCAAGATCCCTCCCCGGGACGTTGCGTGCAAAGCGCTCGGCACATGAACTCCGCGATACCCATGTGATGCTGCTGCATCCTCCCTCTCTAATCACCCCGTTTCCTCCCGGCAGCGTTACCCTGCCCCGAAAACAGCCACTACGAAGCCTGCGGCAACGCCTGCCCGGCCACGTGCACCAACCGGAACGCGCCGGATGCTTGCACCCAGCCCTGCGTGGAGACCTGCGCCTGCAACGAGGGCTACGTCCTCAGCGGTGGCCAGTGCGTGGCGGTGGCCAAATGCGGCTGCACCCACGACGGTCGCTACTACCCTCCCGGTGAGGAGTTTTGGGGCGATGAGAACTGCCGATCTCAGTGCAGGTGTGACCCGGATTTGGGCATGGTGGTGTGCAAGGAAGCCGGTTGCAAGTTGAACGAGAAATGCGTCATGGTGAAGGGTGTGCGGCGGTGCGTGGCCAAGAGCCGCTCCGTCTGCGTGGCCACCGGCGACCCCCATTACACCACCTTCGACGGGCGCCGCTATGATTTCATGGGCACCTGCGTCTACCAGTTGGCTGCCCTCTGCTCCGAAGACCCCACCCTCGTCCCCTTCACCGTCACCGTGGAGAACAACCAGCGGGGCAACCGCGTCGTCTCCTACACCAAGGAGGTCACCTTGAAGGTCTACAACATGACCCTCAGCCTCAGCCAGGAGCACCCCCAGAAGCTCAGGGTAGGGGAGAATGAGGTGCTGGGTGGGCCGCGAGGTCCTTGCGCGGCGTCTGGGTGGGCCGTGAGGTCCTTGCATGGTGTCCTAATGGGCTGCAAGCTCATTGCAAGGCAATTGGTTGGGCTGCAAGGTCGTTGTGTGGTGTTTGGTTGGGCTGCAAGGTCCTTGCGTGGTGTCCTGCTGGGCTGCAAGGTCCTTGCAAGACAGTTGGTTGGGTTGCAAGGTCGTTGCATGATGTCGGGCTGGGCTGCAAGGTCGTTGCATCGTGTCCTGCTGGGCTGCAAGGTCGTTGCATCGTGTCCTGCTGGGCTGCAAGGTCATTGCGTGGCATCTGGGTGGGCTGCAAGGTCCTTGCATGATGTCAGGCTTGGTTGCAAGCTCACTGCAAGGCAGTTGGGTGGGTTGCGAGGCCGTTGCATGGCATCGGGTTGGGCTGCAAGGTCCTTGCGTGGTGTCCTGCTGGGCTGCAAGGTCCTTGCAAAGCAATTGGTTGGGCTGCAAGGTCGTTGCGTGGCGTTTAGGTGGGCTGCAAGCTCATTGCATGGATTTGAGGAGGGTTGCAAGGTCGTTGCATGGCGTCCTGCTGGGTTGCAAACTCATTGCGTGGCATCTGGGTGGGCTGCAAGGTCCTTGTATGGTGTTTAGGTGGGTTGCAAGGTCATTGCATGGCATCGGGTTGGGTCGCAAGGTCGTTGCAGGTGTCCTACTGGGTTGCAAGCTCATTGCGAGGCAATTGGTTGGGCCGCAAGCTCGTTGCGTGGTGTTTAGGTGGGTTGCAAGCTCGTTGCGTGATGCCTGGTTGGTTTGCAAGGTCCTTGCTTGGCATCTGGGTGCATTTTGAGGTTGCACGGCACACGGTTGAGTTGCAAGCGTGTTGCATGGCGTCTTGGTGGGCTTCGATGTTGTTGCGCGGCATGGTGCAACCCATGTTGCCCTTCCAGGTCAACGGGATCCTGGTGAATCTGCCCTTCGACCACGGCAACAAGCTCCACGCCTACGTCAGCGGCTTCCACGGCTTCATCAAGACCGACTTTGAGGTCATCGTCACCTTCGACTGGTACAGCTACGCCAGAGTCATCCTCCCCGACACCTACTCGCGGGCCGTCTGCGGCCTCTGCGGCAACGCCGACGGCGACCCCCAGAACGACTTCGCTTTGCCCAACGGGCAGCAGGCCACCGAGGAAATGCAATTTGGCGATTCCTGGAAGGTGGCCGACGTCCCCGGTTGTTGGGCCGGATGCACCGAAGATTGCAAAGTTTGCACCGAAGCGGAGAAACGTGCCTACCGGGGCGACAAACACTGCGGGCTCCTGGTGAAGAAGCAAGGCCCCTTCGCCGCTTGCCACGCCGTCATCGACCCCGCCCCCTACTTCGAAAATTGTCTCTTCGACACGTGCCTCTACGAGGGGCATCAGGAAACCGTCTGCCACTCCATCAGCGCCTACGTCACCGCCTGCCAGAGGAAGGGCATCCGCATCCGGCAGTGGCGCACCGCCGCCTTCTGCAGTACGTGGGGCTCGGGGCGGGGTTTGCGCACACGGAGGCGGTTGGCTTTGCGCATGCAATGCTTTTTTGCTTGCACTAAGGGTTTGGGGCTTGCATGCTTTTGCATTTGCACGAAGGGCTCAGGGCTTGCACGTACAAATGCTTTCTAGTTTGCACCAACGTGGTTGGGCTTGCACGCACGAAGGCCGCCTAGTTTGCACCAACGTGGCGGGGCTTGCACGCACAAAGGCTTTCTAGTTTGCACGCACAAAGAGTTTGGGGCTTGCACGCACAAAGGCTTTCTAGTTTGCACGCAGGCTTTCGGGCTTGCACAAAGGTGGTTGGGCTTGAAGGCAGCAAGAGTTTGGGGCTTGCA